TCCATGAAGATATTTAGTAAATTTCCTACTGTAAATATATTAAAACTTAATTTTTGATTAGTAATATGCATTGCTAAGAACTTCATTTGGACAACTTTAAAGGGTTAGAAGTGCACATAGCCGGAGGATTTTACCTCCCACAGTCTCTCCGAGGCGAGTAGCCACTGTTGGTCAGCAGTAGAGATTAGTGGTTGAGCAGTGTATCGCTGATGTTGATATATATCAGCCAATATGTGTGTGTGTGTGTGTGTGTGTGTGTTTTTAATGATTGCATTGGCTGATAATTTTTTTCAGTTTGCTCAATATGTGTCGAAAGTAAGACTTGTTTTTTTTTTTATTTTGGCAATGCTGAGAAGAATATTTAGCGTAATGTCTTTAACTTTTTAACTGACTGGTTCTACACATTCATTTGAGTCCAGCTGTGTTTGATTATACTGATTGGACTATGTGACCCTGGAGCACAAAAGCAGTCGTAAAGGGGTCATATGATGCGATTTAAATTTGTCCTTTCTCTTTGGAGTGTTACAAGCTCTTGGTGCATAAAGAAGATCTGTAAAATTGCAAAGACTAAAGTCTCAAAACCAAAGAGATATTCTTTATAAAAGTTAAGAGTTAACCACGCCTACCTAAAACGCCTCGTTCTAACACGCCCCCACATGTCTACGTCACGCTGTGGGAAGATTTGCATAACACCGCCCAAATGTTCACGCAAAGAAAGGAGTAGAATCATGTATAAATTTCATAAAATGAAATGTATACCCTTATGACTGGTTTTGTGGTCCAGGGTCACATACAGTGGGTACGGAAAGTATTCAGACCCCCTTAAATTTTTCACTCTTTGTTATATTGCAGCCATTTGCTAAAATCATTTAAGTTAATTTTTTTTCCTCATTAATGTACACACAGCACCCCATATTGACAGAAAAACACAGCATTGTTGACATTTTTGCAGATTTATTAAAAAAGAAAAACTGAAATATCACATGGTCCTAAGTATTCAGACCCTTTGCTCAGTATTTAGTAGAAGCACCCTTTTGATCTAATACAGCCACTGTAGTATTGTTGACGCTGCAGCCGTGTCGTGAAGACGCTGTGTACGATATCAACGTGTGCCGTTCAGGTCTCACCTGTGCGCGCGCTCTATCAGCACCTGGGTAATGACGGAATAAATGACTGCTCATATTCCAGCATATGGCATTCACATTGAAAAAGAGTGAATGTTTTTTTTTTTCATCACTATTGTTGTAATGTATTGGGAAGCCAGAATGCGCATCCATCAACAGAAACATATATTAGCCGAACCCTGTTTGTTTCTCTTGTTATTTATAGCAAACCATATTACAGATGCGTTGTCAGATTTAAGTAGAATCGCGGTCCTAGCGCGTGCCAAACCGTGTGTGGAGAACCGTACGGTTCGATTTTTTTCCGCGAACCGTTCCACCCCTAGTACACGCAGACTAGATTTTTTAAAGTCCAAATTATTTTTTCCATTTTCAAATAATTTCTAATTTAGTAAATATTATGTTAAATGTACATTTCACTGCACCATGTTATTTACTTTTTACTTTTACTTTTTATTTATCTTAATAGTGTCATCTTTCAAATGTTTTTCTTCATATTGAAACTAGGGCTGAACGATTAATTGCATTTGCGATAATATCGCGATATGAGAAAACGTGATTTTTCAATCGCGGAGGCTGCGATTACACTCGGTCACGTGACACGGGAGAGTAAAGAGGTGTGTTCCACTTGAAGATCGATCGGTGTATGACATCAAAGTACGGCGAGAGAAAGCATAACGACATTCAGCAAATATACATTATATGTTATATCTCAGAAATATTTAATGCCACATATCCTGCAAACTTATTGAATCCAACTTTTAGATCCTCTAAAGTATACAATGTGCCATATTCAGTGTATACTGTATATAAAAAATTTAGAGAAAATAGGATTTACTGTACACACTAGGGGTGGAACGGTTCAACTTACTCACGGTTCGGTTTGTATCACGGTTTTAGAGTCACGGTTTCAGTATGTGCTATGTTTAGGCAAAAACTATACTGTCAAATAAAAATAAAGAAAATAAGAATAATCTAACTACAAGCAACGGCACAAATAAATACAATAGAGTAAAGATACAAATAAAATAAACATTTTTTTTTTTTTCGTTTTTTTTTTTAGGTAGGTCTAACATTAATTTTCCGGTACAGAAATTTAATAAAGTAATGAAATGTAAAACAGCATTGCATGTTTGACTGTATAAATTAAAGATTAATCTTTATTAAAGTTACAAAACTCTCGGCTTCACTCACCGTGTCTATACCGGACGCTACAGTTGTGCGTCGCGCTGGAAGCGACAAAGCGACCGTTGCTAATCATTTTAACTTTGTGTCAGTACGTCATAAATAGTAATGTCGCGCCGCATATAGTAATTTAATGTCGCGCCGCATTCAGTGTACACAGCGTCACTGATTATAATGGGTTCTACTGTATTTTGCCGCTCGCGAACTTGAGAATTTGAGAACCACTGGTCTAAAGTTAACAGACCGTGTTTAGTGCAGTCCACATGTTTACATATGTTTATTTTTGCATTTTTGTGTGAATTTGTCCATTTAAACATAATACTTCAGAAAAAGCTTAATATTTGCACGCGTACAGATGCGTTGTCAGATTTAAGTAGAATCGCGGTCCTAGCGCGTGCCGAACCGTGTGTGGAGAGTGCTACTACCGAAAGTAGTGTTGTAAAGCAACAGATTGTTTTTATATTTCTGCAATCTACTTTAGTTTGTGTGACTTGGTAAAGCAACAGATTGTTTTTATATTTCTGTAATCTACTTTAGTTTGTGTGACTTGTTACTGACTTTCATATTAATGTTTACACCAGGCTTATTTAAACAATGATTACAAGCTTACAAGGTTAGAAGTTCAGCCCTAATTGAAACACATTTTGAAATCGTTTCTGATTTAGTAAATGTTATGTCAAATAAATAGAAACGTCGTTGCAATCTGTGTTATTATCTATAAATTGAATAGAGTGATATCAAATATCAAATCAATTTTTCATATTGATTCCTTTTCAAATGAATTCAAATTTTGCAGAAATTATGAAAAATAAATATACATTTGCAAAATGTTATTTACTTTTTTTTAATTGAATAGTGTGATATCGTATCCACTTTTTTCCCCCCCCCATAGAGATTCATTTTCAAATAATTTCTAGTTTAGAAATCATTTCAGAAATCAGTCTTAATACGCTGATGGATATTCTTTCCCCGAAAGCCATTTTGGCCAATTAATTGAAATAATTAGTGCCTTGTATGGTGTCAGAATAGTCTCAGAATTAATATATTTACTAAATGTGATTCATAAGTGAACAACATGATTCACAAATGCAACTGTAAGTGTTTATTAGACAATATTATGTAAAATAAATTTAATTGCAGCATTTGTTATTGTTTAAATTGAATGGAGTGATATATATTGGCCGTCAAAAAATGCATATCGCTCCACTACCTTCTCATTGCTCCTTTTCCACCGAAGCGGTGCAGTGGCCAAGCCAGCGCTCGCCCAGACATTTCCACAGACTACCAGCCAAACTGCTTTTGCTTTGAGCAGCTAAAAGAGTGTGAGGAGACCCACATGAGGCTGTCAGAGCACTTATGATCTAACATAGTCTTTTCCCCTCCTGTCCCTCCGCTAATCAATGCAAACGACTGCAGATTTCACACTCCTCTCTAATGGTTTCTTTGTTATTTAAGCAAGCGATAATGAGCGACCTCTGCACCTCTTCATGGAGCGTTTCCCACCTGATCACTCTCTCCTAATCAACACCTCACACTGAGACACACCGTCCCCAACCGCAAAATCAACACCAACCAGCAGTGTCCTGTAAACACTCACACCTTACAAGCGTGCTTGGCAGCAGTAGGGCTAGCTGTGGACCCAGTCAGTACTAATGAGTGCAGACAGCAAGCATGCTATGCTTGGTTAAAGAGATAGTACAACCAAAAAATTGAAATTCTGTCATCATTTACTCACCAAGTGTTTTTGTCCATACAATGAAAAGGGGTCCAATGTTGTCCAATGCAAAATTATTTTGCGTTCCGGAAAAGAAAGATAATTTTGGGGGCATAATGTACCAAAAGATGCAAATACATTTTTTTACGTTTCTTAGTGGCTCAGTTGTTTTCAAAACAATGTAGCTTTCCACTAACAAGCTAATTTTTCTGGCAAATAGCACAATAACTGCCACTTTTCTCTCTTGCTCAAGTAATGTCATGTTACATGTCTTCTTGGCAAATAAATAAATAAATGGACATTAAATATTGTTCTGAATTAAAATGACTTATGACTTAAAAACTAGCATAGCATAGGAAATAGGTGACCTGGTACAATTTTTTGTCATTATATACAACATTGTTCAACAGAAGAATGCAACTGACCAATCAGAATAATGTATTCCACATATCTAATAAATTGAAATAAGTATAGTCATTCTATAATTTAAAAGGTAAACGTCATGTCTATTGATGATAATAAATTTTCCCCAAAAATCAGCTTTATAAAAATCATAATTTATCCAAGGGAAAGCATATTATAATCTTACACAAATACTTTGTGCATCCTGTGTTTCATTCTTGAAATAGCCATGATGTCCCCTAAATGACATCCCGTGAAATGAAAATTAAATTGTAAAAAAAAGCTACAGTGAACATTATCTATATTGACATTTTTTAAAAAGTCTAAGTACTCCAGAAAAAACAAGTGTTTTTGAAATTCAGTTTAAATGTTCTTTAAAAAGTGTTCTTTTCTTGTCAGGAGTCAAGGAGTATAATAATTGACCGTCAGTTATGTTGAGTTCATTGTTATGGTGTGCAATATTTTTTAATGATTGCACTTCAGATAAATAATCAGAATTAAGGTTGACCTGGTCAAGAAAATAATGTGGTTGTCCAGACAAAGCATTTTTTATGATCATTTAACCTTCTATGTATCAGAGGAAATTTGAGTATGTATGTGCATGAGCTATCTGTGCAATAGTTAACAATTTGTCCTGTCGACTGTGTTACTTGTATATAATATAAAATATATAATCTGAAACAAATACCGTAGTATTTTATTGAGAAAGCATATTGTACTTTTTTGAGATGTACTCCTAATTTTTGTATGAGACATAATTAAAAATATAAGCATATTTCTTGTTTAACTTGTATTTCAGCTCAACTGAGATTGACGACATGCTCCGTAAATCCACCAACCTGCTGCTGACGAGGACGCTGAGCAGCTGCTTACAAAATCTCATCAAAAAGCCACACATAGGATTAACTGAGGTAACGTTAATGTGACGAACCACCTCATTCTGTCTGCGAAGCTCAGTTCCAAAATCTGTTTCTGTTATGTTTTTCAGCTAGTTCAAATTATCATCAACACCACCCATTTAGAGCACGCGTGTAAATACCTGGAGGATTTTATCACCAACATCACCAATGTGTCCCCGGAAACAGTTCATACCACAAGACTCTACGGGCTTTCCACCTTCAAGGTAAAAGTCATTCACAGACATGTTCTTTAATTACACATTTCACTCGGCTGTACAACCGCCGTGGGCACACTATGATCAGAGATCAGCCGACTGGAGCGGTTCCCTCAGAGTAAAGCTGTCATCGACAGCACAGGACAGGAGCCGCCTCAGGCTTCACCAACTCCATACAGAGCTTGTTTTGATGCCACTTTGTTAAATGTATCTAAACAGAGGTATTATCGGGTAGCCTCTTTCTGAGTCATTAAACATGCAGCAGCATGTTAGCATTGCTCAAGTTTGATTACAATGCATTCACCCCCACCTCTTTCCACATTTTGTTGTTTTACAATGTGAAATTGCATTTGATAAGGATTTTTTTTTACCATTTAAGATCCACCACGTTTACTATTTGATATGCATAAAAAATATTTTTAACTGTAGCATGAAATGTTAGCATAGATGACAGAGATGTTATCGGGTGACCTCTTTTTCAGTCATTAAACACTCAGAAGCATGGTTGCATTGCTCAAGTTTAAATACGATGCATTGCATAAGTATTAACCCCCGCCCTTTTTCGCATTTTGTTGTTCTTAGATCTTGGAATTGCGTTTGATAGATAATTATTACCATTTGAGATCCGCAAAATTTTTACCGTCTGATGTCCATGCAAATTATGTTTGATTGTTGCATGAATATTTAGTGGTTGCAACATTTATTGCTTCAATTGGAAATTGATTGCCAGTGCAACCAGGAATTTTCCACATTTTGCTGTTTTTGAATCTTGATTTGCATTTGATAGGAAAGTCTTACCATGTGATATGCCAAAAATGCTTGTCATTTGATATGCATGTGAATATTTTTGATTGTAGTGTTAAAAATAACAGACATGCATTGGTTGCAAAATTTGTTTCAGTGCTGTTTAAATGCATCCCAGGATTCAATTGGCAATTGGTTGTACCAGTGTTTGTACACTTCTGGAGGAAGGCATTTTCCAAATGTTGTTGTTTTACAACTTGGAATTGCATTTGATAGGGAAATTTTACTTTTAATTTTTTTATTTAATTTGCATGAGAAGTTAAACAAAAAAGCAGACATTTATTGGATGCAACATTTATTGTTTCAATACATCCCAGGAATCATTTAGCAGTTGGTTGTACCAGAGTTTGTACACTTCTGGAAAACTTTGAATGCATGGTTTGCTATTTTTAGGACGCCAGACACGCAGCTGAAGGAGAAATATACACCAAACTCAACCAGAAGATTGATGAATTCATTCAGCTGGCTGATTATGAATGGGGCATGGCAGAGTCGGACGGCAGGGCCAGCGGCTACCTCATGGACCTCATTAACTTCCTGCGTAGCACCTTCCAGGTCTTCACGCACCTTCCGGTAAGATCCACACCGTCCTATTCATACACAGTGCTCGCCATGATTTTGTGATCGTTCTTCACCCGTGGGTTCATGTAATGTGTGTTATTGCATATGTGGCATCAATCAGTGTTGCATTTATAGGTGTTTAGTTGGTCACACCTTGGCGGAAGTTCTAGGAGCCCTTCAGAATAATACATTTTCTAGATTATGCCCCTCTTTTGACTTTCCACTGTTAGGTGTAAATCAATATGTAAGTGCATAGGAATGTTGTGTTTGGTGTCATAGGTGTCATTACACAAACATAAGATGTCCGTTCCCAAAAACCAATCAAATCTCTGTCTATTCCTGTACATAATCAACTCCCAACCCATCCATTCACTGAGAACGATACAGCTTGCTTGCGTTTCTCTTCAGCTGCCCTGTCCTCTTAAACAAATTACTTTAACCTCCAGTTTAAGTTGGTTATGCTTTGGTTTCTCAACAATGTAACATCTTTCCTGTAAGTGAATGTATTCTTCGATTTATTTTCTGCCAGGCATGCTTGGTTTTCTGATTTTCCTTTGTCTGTCCATTTATTATCGCTATACTTTCTTTCCCTGTCCGTGTTTTATTTTCTTGGTGTTTCCACTCAGAATAACAACAATGATCATGCTGCAATGTCGGTAAGTAGACTCTCTTCGAACCCTAGAGGAGGAAGAGAAAATTAATTTACAAGCCAAAAAAAAAGACATTAAAACTGCATGTTCATGTCAGCTATGTGGACTTGCTGCCAGTCTTGTTTTGCTTCCCTTTTCACGTGTAATGCAGAATGTAAACCAGATCGATTGGCATGCTGCCCCTGATTGTCTGACCACGCAGAACACGCGTGCCATTCTTATGAGATTCCCTAGCACTAGTCACAAGCATTTAAAGGGACAATTCACCCAAAAATTAAATTCTCTCACCTCATGTCATTCCAAACCTGTGTGACTGACTGACTTTCTTCAGATCGTTTCACATTGTTTCATTTGGATTTTTGGGTGATCTATCTCTTAAATAGTCTCAATAATGAGTGTCTCTCAATTCAGAATGCTGCTTTATTAATGCTGCATAATGACACATTCTTTCTAACCTACTACCTAGTTGCAGTATACAGTAGCATACAGCAGTATGTCATTGTATGTCAAGTATACTCAGATGTTACATAATCTGTATGTTAGCGCAGCTAACTCACTTCACACCAGTTTATTTTATATAAGCTGACTTAGTAGAAACAGGCCATTAAAAATTGTATTGGTTGAAAGAGATGTGAGCTCAAAAAAGGGTTTTAGAACATAACCATTCAGCTCATGTTTTAATGAAACCTGCACATTTTTCTAACATAATGGGATGAGACAAAAGGGAAGCCATTTTTATTAATAGCTATTTCCGGTTCGGTTTGTATTTCTGGTGTTGTGATGTGTCCCTCCCTCAGTCAAAACTCATTGGTCCAATAGTCCACTTCACATCAGTGTTATTTTAGTATCATGGAGAAACTGTTATAGTTGATATTAATATTTTGAATTCGTTTTTATTTTTATAAGTTAAAGTTTTAGTAATTTAGTAATCAAATTAAACTAATTGAAACCGAGAAATGTTGCCTTGGAAGCTAGATGGTGAAAATATATAAAAACATATATTTTAATATATATTTTTTGATATTTTATTCCCATTAATAATCATTATATTTCAAGTCAATTTTTTTTAACTTGTATTAAATATAATAACCTGTGCCTCTTGCCTGGTTAGGACTTATATTTGTGGTGCAACATTTAAATTATTTTTGTTTGTGTGTGTGTTTGTGCAAAGTAGTTAAATTTATATATAAGCATCTTTTTAAGAGTGGAATCGAAATTTAAACAAAATGATGGTCTCGGAGAGCATCTCAAAGATTTTTAAATGTGATGAATTTTTAGGGGGCTGCTTTTATAGTCCTGATTTTCCAAATATTTGGTTATTTCTAGAAATAAAATGTCCATGCATTCTGAACTTATTGGCTTTGTGTTTTTTAATTATGCATATGCTTGTTAAACAGGATTGGTTGTTCAGTGTGGTGCTGGAGTGTTTTATGTTGCTTACAGATGAAATAAGTGAAACGTGTATATATCTTGTTTATAGCAAACTGTGATGTGTCTAATGGATATCAACACTGATAACATGATAATGACAGGGGTGTTCTTTTGCGAAGAGCTTTGTTTGCTTTTTGTTTTTTTGCTTTGGATAGAATAATCAAATGTAATTGTTTATTCATTTCTTTGCTAGTTGTCAGCATGTACTGGTGGAGCAGCTGTTGCATGAGTTTTGAGTGTTTGGCATCTGGTATTGCCAGGTTTAACTGGTCTTTTACCTTTTTCCTCTTTACAACCCTGCTCCTTATGAGCGTGTCGGCTTGCATGAACGTCTGCTGTAGATGTGAGACTAGATGTCACCGTGTGTTTGTGTCTGAATTGAAATCCATCAGATGGTGGATTTTCAAGAGCTGTAAACCTTTGTCATCTTCATTTTGCGTCATTACTTCCACTGATTTAGATTTTAGGTGTTAAGTATGGTTTTATAAATTATGGTTACATATTTGGAAGTGAATCAACATACGCTTCCAAAATGATCTCTGTGCTTATTACTTTCATACATTCTGTCATTATTTACTCACCCTCATGTTGCTCCAAACCCATATGTTTTTCTGTCCTCGGTGGAACAAAAAAAGAGGACTTTTTTAAAGAATAACCAGGCTGATCCTTTATAAATTCATTGAATGTGAATGGTGACTGGAGCTGCCAAGTTCTAAAATGACACAAAACGCAACAGAAATATCAAGAATGACAACTAGAATTTCAGTCTGTTCATCATACAAAGCTAAATTATGATATAAGACAGTCCAGGAGATCAGAAGACTTAAAATATAGAGTATGAATCATATGGACCACTTATATTCCCTTTTTTAGTTTAGTTTAGTTTTTTAGACCCATTCACATTCACTTTAAATATATGGAAGTGAGCAGTCATGCTACAGTGAACAAAATTATTTTACAACATTTCGGGGAAAAAAAGATTATTGTAGTGTTTTTATTTACTATTTCAGCATTTCTACATCAATCTTTCATGTTTCATTCAGTGTGTTCCTTGCCGTTTCTTTGTAAACTTTAGTGAAATTTACTTGCAATTTTTAGTGAATTTTTTTTAAAAGTAAATCCTACACCAAATGTTTTTCTGTGTGTGTATATTTATATCAGTCCCACCTGGATTTTGCTTTTTTTTTTTCTCTTCCAGATTTGTGCAGCCTAAAATGACCGAATTTATTGTGTCTTTTCTCAAAATTTGCTGCGATATTTAAATTTTTATGCTGTTTTGCAGTGAAAACACACCAATGATCATGATGTACTTTTGTAATTAGTGTTGGTGTTGGTTACAGTAAGATTACAATAAGCTGTTAATTCTTTTATGCGTAATTACTGAATTACTATGGTTCTGGTTTCACATGTACAAAGCAGTGGTGACACCAGCATAGAAATATTCATAATTCTGCTTTGCTGAAAATACAGATACAATAGCTTGCACATTGTCACGGTGTCACAGAATCATTATGTAATCATTGACACTGATTATATACTATGCCTTTAAAATCGTATAAAATTATATTTCATGTTTTTACAATTTAACAATTATATTGTCTATGATTTATATTGTCTGAAATATTTACAAAGTGCATATTCAGAAAAATAATGTTCTTATTTAAAATCTAATCTGAGTTACTGGAGAAATCAGGCATTATGCAGACAATACACATTGATTCATTAGTTGTTGTTTTTTTAGCAAATTTTTTATAAGAATAATACATAAGAAAAAATTCATATGGGCTTGGAGCAACATTTTAGGGTGAAACTGCTATTCTAAACTAGCCATTGCTTTATGTTCATAGCGTGGCACAGACCCTGATACTAACTTTGGTGCTATGAATTGATTAAGATATTGAGATAGAAAAGCTCTGATGCCGTGTGTGGCTGAGGACACCTGTAGTAACGGTTTGTTGGTGTGTTTGTGTGCCGTTCCTCAGGGTAAGGTGGCGCAGACAGCGTGTATGTCTTCCTGTAAACACCTGGCCACGTCACTGATGCAGATGCTGCTAGATACTGAGCTCAAACAGATCAGCATGGGAGCCATTCAGCAGTTTAACCTGGACGTTATGCAGTGTGAACGTGAGTAGTGCGTCTTCGATAATTTAACAATTGCATATTTACAATGCCGCCTCCTTGTTCATTTCAATAGTCCACCCAGTAATGAAGCTTCTGTCATTAATGATCACCCTCTTGTCGTTTTTACATTGTTAGAAAAAGAGATTTGCGATAAAATAAAGGCAGCTGTGGTTGCCAAAACTTTACCATAAAAGATACAGTAGCAACATTTCAGGTTTTAGGGATTAACCTTAAATTATAAAGAAAATAATACATATATTTCATTACCTGATATAATGTTAATATACCAACCCACTTAAATACTAAAACCTGTTTTGTACCTTTATAATACACTGAAAAACCTTTTTTTTTTAAACACAGGAGGTAAAGAGAAAGCCAAAGCTCATCAGCAAGCTGAAGTAAATATTAATATGCACACTGTGTCATACACACAAATACAAAACACCATCATGTTAACACACATGACACATGCGGTAAACATTAATTTGATATCATAAGATGTAACATAAAAACCATCAAATATGAAGTATCCCACAGGGATTTCTGGCAATGTCAATTTACGTTTTTTCACTGTAAATTATAAGATGGTTTGTTCTTTTTCTCTTCCAAAAACTAAAGTATTGTACTGTAAAAGTACATGAAATATCCCATTAGATTAAAATTTTTCACCGTGTAGACTAAAAGAACCTTTAACCAAACAGGCTTTTACAGTAGCATTTCTACAGTCTTCACCATTAAAATTATGATCATTTTTACTGTGTAGACCCTGTAAACTATAACAGTGGTCCATATACTGTATTTTAAGTTTCTGAAACCATACAGTAGCTTTGTAAGCGAAGTATAAAATAATAGTCATCATTTATTGAATGCATCTTATCTGTTGTAAATCATTAAGAGTTTATTGTCATACAGTATGTACAGGTAACACAGTTACACTGTACAATGAAATTCTTACTCTGTGAATCCTCTAGCAGCCAGAGACATACAAATAACCACAAAGACATATTATAGAAAATATGTCCATTCTGAAAGTTTGAGCATTACCATAAACCATTTCAAAGCGGAATATGACTAATGCACTAATAGATAGGCATGTCACGATTATGCTCTGTGAAGCGCAACATAACGGTAGATGCATTCATGCAGCAGGTATTATTGATATTATCAGGTGTTCTCAGAAGCAGTTATCTGAGTTACACTCTTTCAAGGAACGTTCCTGATTACCCGCACTCCACCTGCTCTTGGAAATCCACACCTGCTCTGATATGAGCTGATATGAAACAGTTTAGAACAACATTAATCGCTTATCCATTTGAACATTCGTTCATCTTACATGTGCTGCATTTGCATGCATTACCCACCCGTATAAGGATATAGTTTATAGTTCTACCAAAAATGAAAATGCTGTTTCAAAGCCATATGACAAAACTGTTGTGTGTGGAACACAAAAGGAGATGTTTTCTGAAAAAATTGAATCCTTTAATTCAGCAAGGATGCGTTAAATTAAATTTAAAACAATTGACAGTAAAGATTATGGGACACTGTAGACTGGAGTAATGGCTGCTAAAAATTCAGCTTTGACATCACAGGAATAAATTACATTTTAAAATGTATTGAAATAGAAGATGGTTATTTCAAATTGTAATAATATTTCTGCTTTTACTGTATTTTTAATGAAATAAATGAAGCCTTGTTAAGCATAAGAGACTTTTTTTAAAAACATAAAAAAATCTTATCAACCCCAAATGTTTGAACAGTAGTGTAAAGTGAATTCAGGTGGATGCTCTGGCTCCAAATATTTACATTTTTGGGGCCATTTCTATCTCTGATCGTTTTCAATACTTCAGTTTTTCCGAGTACACCAAAGGTGTACAGCTGGTTATCACAACAGACGGGCTTATTGGTAGTTTTAAAAAATAGTATGCTATAATTATAGCAGGTGCTCATAAGTATTGTGTGGTGTTATTCTCTATGTTTTTGTGAAATGTAGAACCTGATCTCATTGAGGTTTCATCTCTGATATCTCCCTGGGGAAGCCCGTAAGCCCCTTTGATTCTGAATGGCACAATTGAGATGTCAGAGCACAGTCTTCATCAATAATGTTAAGATGTGGACAGCTCTTTGGTTCTAGCATCGCATCTTCTGCTCCTCAGCCATTTAAGGTTTCAGTCATGCTACATCACTGTCAGCAGAAGTGAAAAGGCTGTGTGTGTGCATGCTCGTATCTGTGGCCTCAGGTTACAGATGTCTAGAATTTGTGAGGGTCCAACCGCACAGGTACGGCAGGGAATGTCTGGCCCTTCTCTAAGGTCTGAATGGTGTTCGTCCCATTAGTGGCAGTTCATCTTACGCTAGTCAAAACACAGACAGTTAAGATGCACCCATAGGAATACTTATGTTGTGAGTTCACAGTCTGATTTGTCTGAATTTTGCTTGTAATTTATAGTGGGTCAGTGGATAGTTAACCGGGAAGTGAAGTCACATGCGTTTGGGATGTGATCAAGGTCATACATGCACTTTCATTCAGACTGAAACGGTAATCTGTCTTTTTAAAATGTTTAAGACACCAGTCGATTTAAGGTTTCAGTCATGCTACATCACTGTCAGCAGAAGTGAAAAGGCTGTGTGTGTGTGCATGCTCGTATCTGTGGCCTCAGGTTACAGATGTCTAGAATTTGTGAGGGTCCAACCGCACAGGTACGCCAGGGAATGTCTGGCCCTTCTCTAAGGTCTGAATGGTGTTCGTCCCATTAGTGGCAGTTCATCTTACGCTAGTCAAAACACAGACAGTTAAGATGCACCCATAGGAATACTTATGTTGTGAGTTCACAGTCTGATTTGTCTGAATTTTGCTTGTAATTTATAGTGGGTCAGTGGATAGTTAACCGGGAAGTGAAGTCACATGCGTTTGGGATGTGATCAAGGTCATACATGCACTTTCATTCAGACTGAAACGGTAATCTGTCTTTTTAAAATGTTTAAGACACCAGTCCAGTTTCTGTAGTTTGGCCTCATCCAGCATACATACACATTAATGGGACCACAAGTGGCCTTGGTGCACTTGAGCTGAAGGACAGAGTGCAAATTCATGGTGCAACATGAATTTATTCCTTAAAATATTTAATTTTGCATCTTGTGTACTTGAAGACTGCAGCTCGACTATACTGTATATCCATTATAAGTGCACATGAACACATACTGACTGACTGACTGTTGCTTAATCCTAGGGCTCATGGTAGGTCTGTTAGGTCGTGGGGAATTCATGGCCCAATGGTTAGAGAGTCTGACTCGTAACCCAAAGGTTGCGAGTTCGAGTCTCAGGTCCGGCAGGAATTGTAGGTGGGGGGAGTGAATGTACAGCGCTCTCTTCCACCTTCAATACCACGACTGAGGAAGGCACCGAACTCCCAACTGCTCCCCGGGTGCATACATTTCTGCCCACTGCTCCGGTGTGTGTGTTCACTGCTGTGTTAAATGCAGAGCACTAATTCCAAGTATGGAATGTCACATGTCACATGTCATGTCACGTTATCATTAATGAAATCGCTGTGGCTGCACGAACTTGAAACCAGTGTAGTTCACTGTAATTGTTCAATTCTTCTGGAATTAAGCTCTCTGGAATACTTGATTCTTATGGTTGATCCAGCTTTCCTCAGTCAGAAATTTGTACAAAATGATAGCTAATCTGATTTAACTGACAGATTTTTTTTTTTTGAGCAAACTTTTGCTTTCTCATATCACACTCTGATAGATAGATGGATGGATGGATGGAGAGATAGGTTTGTTAGTTGAGTTTGTTTGATAAATAGTTTTGATCATCTGGGTTTATAAAGCCATTGAGTGAGTTAAGATCATCTAGTTTTAGGAAACCATAGATAGAGTTAGTTATGATCATCTGGTTTTAGAAAACCATAGAGTGAGTTAGTTAGTTTGTTAGTTAGTTATGATCATCTGGTTATTGAAAACCATAGAGTGAGTGAGTGAGTGAGTTAGTTATGATCATCTGGTTTTAGAAAACCATAGAGTGAGTGAGTTAGTTATGATCATCTGGTTTTAAAAAACCATAGAGTGAGTGAGTTAGTTAGTTATGATCATCTGGTTTTAGAAAACCATAGAGTGAGTGAGTGAGTGAGTGAGTTAGTTAGTTATGATCATCTGGTTATAGAAAACCTTACAGTGAGTGAGTGAGTTCTGGAGGGCCGGTGTCCTGCAGAGTTTAGCTACACCTTGCCTTAACACACCTGCCTGGAAGTTTCTAGTATGCCTAGTAGAAACTTGGTTAGCTGGTTCAGGTGTGTTTAATTAGGGTTGGAGCTAAACTCTGCAGGACACCGGCCCTCCAGGGCTGAGTTTGGAGACCCCTGGTTATGATCATCTGGTCTTAGAAAACCATAGATGCAGTGAGTGAGTTAGTCTTGATTTTCTGATTTTGGAAAACTGTAGGTCTAGATCAGTTAGTTAAATAGTTAGTTTTGATCATCTGGTTTTGGACAGCCATAGATAGTTAGTTAGGAAGGGCATCCTGCGTAAAACCTGTGCCAAATTCCTGTATGGATCATTCCTGTACGACCACTAATGGGAGCAGCCGCAGGAGAGAGTGAGTGAGTTAGTTAGTTGGTTAAGTAGGTAAGTATTTTTGATCCTCTGGTTTTGGAAAACAGCGAGTCAAGTTTCAAATATACAGCAACACAAACTTGCTGTATATATTTGTCTGAACTGAGTTTGGGGGATGTAACTTAAATGTTTTAGGACAGCTTAGTGTTCGAAATTTTAGTCTCAGAAATGTAGTAATAATAATAATAATAAAAAATAGTAGAGCGGTATGTTGGCTTTATCAAGCAACATGGTATATGGTTAATGTTAACAAAAAACAGGGTAACAAAAATGCTTTGTAAAGATTATTCAAGAGTTTGAACAATTAATTAAACTAATTGTTTTTTAAATGGTATTTTCCTGTTCTTTTCACAGTGTTTGCCAGTTCAGAGCCCGTGCCAGGATTCCAGGGGGACACGCTGCAGTTGGCCTTCATTGACCTCCGACAGGTACAGACCTCTCTGCAGACATGACTATTCTTGATCCATAGTCCCTGTGAGTGGAGCTGAAGGGAAGGGTGGAGAACATACAGCATTAACAGGCACTAATGGATTATCCCAACCTGAACATGCTTACCTTCAGGAGGGGAAATCACTTAGTCGCAGTGGGGTTCATTATGCTATCAGGATTTCTTTCTTCGTTTGGTCCTGTTTTTTGTGCTGCTTGAAGTTTGAACTTTTAATCTGGGCCTGAGGTGCTTAAGGTGTAAAACCGAGGTCATGTCAAGGTTTCTTCTACAAAGGTATGTCATATAAGGAAGTATTATTAGGGTGTGGAGTTAATAATACTGTTTAAAATCCATTTGGTTTCTAATACCTCTTTTTATGTTCAGCAGAAAGCTGAAAGTGTCTTCAAATCACACATGCTGCAGTATTACTTAAACATTTTCAGCACGCTGTTGAAGAAAAATTACATTTCTGTCATAATTTACTCACCCTTTTGTCCTGACTTTATTTGTGTAGAACACAAGCTGTGTTTTCAAGATGTCCTGGCTGCTGTATTCCAACTAATAAAAAATCAAAGGGGACTGGGACTGTCCAGCTCTTAAAGGGATAGTTCACCCAAAAATGAAAATCCTCATGTCGTTTCAGACCTGTATAACTTGTTTTCTTCTGGAGAACACAAAAGAAGATAGTTTAGAAGAATGTTGGTAACCAAACAGTTATAGTGACTTCCACTGTAAAGCATGAAATATCTTCTCAAAATATCTTTATAAAGAATCATAAAAGTAGACCATATGACTTAATTAGATGCCATCAGCTTCAGGTTTTGTTTACAAAGTATGCAAATTTTGATTCCCGTTTAAAGGGATAGTTCACCCAAAAATGAAAATTACCCCATGATTTACTCACTTTCTTCTTTCAGATAAATACAATCAGAGTTATATTAATAAATGTCCAATCTTAATAACGGCAGTGAATGGGGGTCGAGATTTAAGTGCATCCATCCATCATAAAAAGTGCTCCACACAGCTCCGGGGGGTTAATAAAGGCCTTCTTAAGTGAATCGATGCGTTTGTATAAGAAAAAGATCCATATTTAAAACTTTAGAAACTGTAATCTCTAGCTTCCGCTAACTGTCATATGTTCGTTCACGAGAGAGTGGCGTTCCAGCGGATGACTTCCTTCAAAATCTAATGCTTCAAAATCTCGATCACCATTCACTGCCATTATTAAGCTTGGAAGAGCCAGGACATTTTTTTATATAACTCTGATTGTATTCGTCTGAAAGAAGAAAGTCATATACACCTAGGATGGCTTGAGGGTGAGTAAATCATGGGGTAATTTTCATTTTTTGGTGAACTACCCCTTTAAGTCTCTATCTCACATAATGCTATTGTATGACTTCAAAGGTCTTGAAATATAGAACACAATTTATATACAATACATTAATGATACTTTTATGATGCTTTTTTGGTTCTTGACAGCCCAAGTCCTTATTTACGTTCATTATAAAGCATAAATTATTTTTGCAGTCCCATTTGCTTCAGTAGCAAAAGGAAAAATCCATAATAGTATTTCTATGACTCTCCAAAAGAGCTAAAAAAAAATTGGAGAGATTTATTACAGTTGTCAGAAAAGAGTAAGTTGTCAGATTTGCAGTTACTCCCGTCAGCTGTTGTAGAAACACTCATGCAGCTGTGTTTACTAGTTTTCTGTTTAATCAAAATATGTTATAACTGTACATAAATGAAAAAGAAAATACAAGTAAATGTGGACTTGCATCATCACAGTCCGTGAAATGGGTCCATTCTTCAGAAATTCACCTTTGGTATTCCACGGAAGAAAAGGAAGTGATAGAGTTTGGAATGACATGAGGGTGAGTAAGTGATGACAGAATTTTATTTGTGGGTGCAATTTCAAACCACATGCTGAATCACATACACCACCCGTTCATGGGAAATGAAGAAACACGCAGCTCTGGCTTTATCTGCGTGCCACGCACCGGTCGGGGGGGGGGGCGTCTCTCACCGTGTCACGACTGCGACCGCTCGCCAAGACCTCTCGATTACCATTAGTGTGACGCCGCTTTGATCCTCACCTGGTTTCTTGGAGGATTTGATGACCGCTTCTCTCAAGTGCTCTCAGTGAGCTCTGGCTCCAATTCAGGCAGAGCGAGCTCGGACAAGGTCAGAGATAAGGAGAGCGGAGTGCTGGCCATCAGAATTTAGCTATTCACCCCAATCCCCTGTGTAGATAACCTTCCCATCATGCATTACAACGCAAAGCTCTTATTGCAGTCCTACGTGGAGTAGATGCTTTTTTTTGGAGCATGTACCAACACCAAATAGAGAGGTCACAGTCTCCCTGCCAATCACGCAGCAGCTAATGGAGTGGCTCTTATTTACTCTGTTGTGTTTTAAACGTTTTAAATTCTTGTTATCTGTTAGGTGATACTGTGCAGGGCTGCAGATGCTTGTACTAATACTGGTAAAAATTCATTTGTTCACATCACTTAAGAGAAACTTAAATGTCTGAAGGCACATTTCTGAACATGGCAAGTTTTCCTGTGTTCTTCACTTTCACCAGCATCGCGAGTAAGTATCTAAAAGTAGAGATGCTGCTAACTTGACTCCTTTTTTTTCAGTAGTATGACAATAGATCAGTTGTTCACAGTAATACAGCTTTTCCAGTAGCTACTTTTTGCAACAATTAGCAATTAAAACATTTAAAACATGAAAAAAATTGCTGTGTTGCAAACTTAGGCAATAATGTCCTTATTCTTTCTTATATAGCATTAATTTAGGTATTCAGTTCTTCCTTTCTTTTTTACTTTTACTTACATACTGTATGGTTTGAGCTACATGAATGCTTCATCATTAACACTACCATTCAAAACTTTGGGGTCGGTGAATTTTTTAAAGGGGTCATACGATGCGATTTCAATTTTTCCTTTCTCTTTGGAGTGTTACAAGCTCTTGGTGCATAAATCCTTTTTTTTCAGTAGTATGACAATAGATCAGTTGTTCACGGTAATACAGCTTTTCCAGTAGCTACTTTTTGCAACAATTAGCAATTAAAACATTTAAAACATGAAAAAAATTGCTGTGTTGCAAACTTAGGCAATAATGTCCTTATTCTTTCTTATATAGCATTAATTTAGGTATTCAGTTCTTCCTTTCTTTTTTACTTTTACTTACATACTGTATGGTTTGAGCTACATGAATGCTTCATCATTAACACTACCATTCAAAACTTTGGGGTCGGTGAATTTTTTAAAGGGGTCATACGATGCGATTTCAATTTTTCCTTTCTCTTTGGAGTGTTACAAGCTCTTGGTGCATAAAGAAGATCTGTAAAGTTGCAAAGACTAAAGTCTCAAATCCAAAGAGATATTCTTTATAAAAGTTAAGAGTCAACCACGCCTACCTAAAACGCCTCGTTCTAACCAGGGCTCTATGCTTATTTTTCTTTTTAGGAGCACTTATGCTCCTAGCTTAAAACATTTAGGAGCACAGTCAAAAATTTAGGAGCACCTTCTAATCAATAATCCAAAATTTTATAAACAATTAGCCTTCCCATTACGAGGTGATATTTGACTTCTTAAAGTGATTTACAGTGGAATTTTGTTTTTACCATTGTAATGGCATTTTTCTAACTTTTTATTAAAAGTATGTCATCTTTTATGTAAAATTTTAAAAGTATATTTTATAAGCTTTTTAAAAATTCTAATTAAAACCATAGAATAAGAACAAGTAGAATAAGAAGAATAAGTTACTAATCAAATGAAATCAGTATTAAAATTAATTTGTACAGAGGTGGCACAGAAGAACACAAAAAAGTGGCTTGTAGATGTATTTTCAGACATTTAATGAGGATCAGAGGTGGCATGAGTGCAATTAAATCCATAAATTCATGTTGAAATTAATGTTTTAAAAAATGTTGAATATAAAAATATTAAATGATTTTAAGAACTGAAAAGATACTTTAAAAATGAAACTAAAACTGCCAGAAGGTGGCGACAAGTCACTGATTTTATCACTGAATCATTCATTCGAACGGCTGATTCATTCAGGAATGAAGCAAGTGACAGTATTTATGAATGGGTGATCATGAATCACTGACTCACTAGACTCGTTTAAAAACGCAGTTCATTCATAAACGAGCCACCGCTGTGTTTGAATGGAGATGCGCAGCGGCTGAGCTGTGACTTTGTTTCAAACTATTTTCGACGACAAAATAGAGCAAAATCAGACAATAGTGTTATAGTCAGACAATGTAAGTCACTTAATATTAACTTTTTGTCTATTGAACTGTTGTATTAAATCAGTATCACGTTTACAAACTCCCTTAAAAATCATTAAAAGCTGTCACTCATCGCGATCTCACTATAACAGTCCAAACTAGTTATTAGTTGGGTATCCAGGAAATGCATGAACTTATGTCATGTATACCTTGAATGACAGTTAAATCTATTTTGGATAATTGATTTGGCTGTATCGCCCAGCCCAAGGTCTGCAAATATTGACATTTACGAGCACAGTCTTGTTGCCCATGATGCTCCGCAGGGTCTTGTTGTGTTTAGCAGCAATATTGTCATAGCCCAGCAGGAGCAGCAAACAGCACTAAATAATGGTCCGTAAAACAGACCTCCTCAATACGGACCACATAGTAGGTGTGAAGTGCTATTAGCCCCCTGAACCCACCTCTCCCGGCTCTCCATAATGAACGAGCCATCCGGGAATTGTCCCCCATTGATTGATATTGATTTGCATACATAGAGGTGAGTGATCTGGCCCTTCTCCAGCAAATTAAGTTCAATGTGTCCAGAGCTTTGCTTTGAATCAGAGTTGCCAAGTGGCAGGGAGTCCACTGACCAGAGCACCGTGGAGCCAGGATTAGCTCCTCTGTGGGTTATCTGGAGGTCACGGAGGGATTTCTCTTCCTTTTGCATTTAAAGTGCTCCCAGCTCCTCACTAACCCCCACCATTAGTGTATGACCTCACACACTTCTCTTTGGGCAACTTATGAATTATTTATTTATTTAATTATTTAGTTATGATCAGGGTTCTTGCATAGAAAAAGTTTTAAAAAAAAAATATCAGGGAGCTTTATTTTTATTTTTATTTTAATTTTAGTTAAAGTTTTAGTAATTTTGTTGTGTGTTTTGTCATTGTTATATATAAAAACTATAGAACTATAAAAAAATATTGTTTTAATTTTTATTTATGTTTTAGTTATTTTAGTTTCAAATTTAACTCAATTAAAATGAGAAATGTTGCTTTGACAGCTAATACATTTTGGGGGAAAAAATACATTTGACTTTTTTTCAGTTAGTGTTTCTTTTATTTCAATTAATGAGAAGGTTTTTTTATGGTTTTAGTTTTTGTTAACTATAACAACCCTGAATAAATCAAATATTGAAAATGTAGAGATTTTTT